TGGGGACGCCACTATGTGCGTATTTTAACCCAAATATGAGTGAAGGATGAGTGTAGGATGAGTGGCGCGATCTTGTAGTCTTGTTAGTGACTAAGGCCGACATGTTCCTTAGACACAGCTGTTAATTAATAGCCCATACAGCTAATTGCAACTAAGGGACCTACAGTTTATAGTGGAATCCGAACCACATTTTTTCCTTGTAATTTACGAATTGGTCTAATTATCAGGAAAGTACTGCGGATAGTCGTAGTACTCACTAGTGCGGACGTTAATCCACACCAGGAAGCATCGCATCCACAGAGAATCCCTATAAATATCCACAGCTACATACTGACATCAAATAAAATTATTTATTTAATCAGAATTTTAACAAAACAAGTTGCATTAAATAAGTCATATTATTTTTAAAACATGCCTTACATACCAGGTTTACAAATATATACACGGATTTACAAAATGGCTTACATTATACTATAAATGATATCAGAGATATATTAAATATTAATATTTACAATCGCATTCCTAGAGCTGATATGAGTTAGGAATTCCTGGACGCTGTAAGAGGTAAAATTTATCAAAAAGAGATTTTAATCAATTTTTAAATTTTGAAAGGTTTTTAAGAGAAAGTGGAAGATAATTGAAAAGTGTAATGGCATTGTACTGTAAGTGTCTTTTGAAAAATGTTGAATATTTAGGGATTGGTAATGTGTGTGAGTTTCACAATGTGTAGTGGTTTTTGACAGAAACGTTAAATTGAGAAAGTTATTTTTTTACAAATGTCAAGGATTCAAGAATATAAATAGGTGGAAATGTTACAATTTTCGAATATTTTTTAATACATAAAAATAAGAATAGTTAAGAACGAGTTTAGAATTTATATAAATGTTAAGAGTATGAAATATTCATAAACGAAATGGTTTGAGATTCTATTAAATTAAAAATATCCACAACTTAGGATCGAAGCAGCGACATACCAACTAATATGCGAGAAATACAATAATTTACCCCACCAGAAATTTCATTTATAATATTCTTAGACTTCCGTTTAAATTCCTGCGCTTGAACTAATTACGATTTATTGATACTAAGCCGAATTCATCAGGTTCGGCTGTAAACAAGGGACCTTTGAGCACGTGAATAAGATATATCAACCCTACCTTCCAGTTTAGTGACGGGACATGTGTGGGTTTCTAATGACCACAGTGACTCTACGTAGTCGAACGTGTCACATCAAATCACATTACTCTATTTATGGACCACTTTGCATGTAACTTAAGGTTGGAAATTACAATTTATCATCATTTAAATAAACGGTATCAGCAATCTGACAAATAATTTCTCCCATAAGCTTGTGAACAACATATCATGGGCTAGCGGTGGGATCACCTAGGATAATTTTGTAGAAAAAAATCACAAAAGTTGCAATAACTTTTGAACCGTAATTGTTACAGTAAAAGGGTTGCATTATTTTGTTTATAATAAGCACTACATCGCATTAGTTTGAATCAAAACTGGGGTTTCCCCCAAAATCAGATTTTTTTTTTTTATTTTAAGAGATATTTTAATGGGAAAATAACATAAGTTATAATAACTTTTGAACCATAATTTTTACGGAAATATGATTTGTACCATTTTGTTCAGAATCTAAAGGAATATAACATACTAAATTGGTATGAACATCATTCTGGTCATTTTTTAGAAAATCTGATTTTTCCGTTATTTTATGTATACATATAAAAAAAAAACATGGAGATACCATGAATTACCAATACATACTAAATTTCTTTAAAATTGGACTTACATGTGTGGTCTGTAGCTGTACACATCCACAAACACACAATACTTTCTCCATATACTATATATAAGGGGGAAAGTAAAAGTAGATAAATGTTGTTATGTTTGAAAGTGGTTATATTCGTGTAGTAAGATGGGATATAGAATAAAAGGGTGATGGAGAAAAACAAAAACAATTTTTGTTACATTGTGTTTTTGATCATTCTGGTTCTCTTTTGTGGATTTTCTTGTACGTAGGCAAACATATGTGTCGTATAGACATGGGCGTAGTTATCTGTATATACTTCTGTGCGTGGCTTTTAATAACCCTCTAATTTATGAACCATTTGAGCAAAAACCGGAAACCTTACATAATTAATTATTATGGTAAATAATAATGTTTTAAATATTTACGTTCAGATTTATCATACCAGGTTTCAAATCATATTTAGATATTTCAGTTTGAAATCCTCAAAGTTTAATCCATCTCAAACCGTAAAAGATGACAGAATTTGTAATCGAATTCGAACATGGTGCTTTGTTGTACGATGGAACATCGTTACATATGGGTTAAACGGAGCACTTCATAACACTATAGTAAATATCACATAATATAGTAGCTTTAAGAAAATGCTGTAAAATGTGTTTATCTGTGCACAAAGAACAAATCCACAAAGAGGACTAGGATTATCTGGAATAGTTTAAATATTTTAAAAAGTTGGAAAAGAATCGTCACCAAATCTTTGGTGGAAATTCAAAGTAGACACGATGTTAACAGTTTTTGTTCCATATACCACGTAAAAAAAGATATCGTTGGCTTATCGAAAGTGACCCGTCAGTAAACAGCCCACTCCGGAAATAGCTTTTTTGGATCAAAATAAAATAATAATCAAGTATAACATATTTGCATTTTAGTTTTAGTTTGACCCAATAAACAATTTTCCGAAATATGGCTGTTTACTTAGAGGCACCCTGTATAATTTAGGAAACAAAAAGGTTGTCAAACGAGCAGTTTTCTACAAATTCCATTATTTATTTTCCAACCAACCAACTTTTCAAGAAATAATAAGGCGAGTGGGGCTTAATTATTTGAAAGCTTCTTTAAACAACAAAGACCTAAACCTTCCTTTATACTGGGCTCTTGTAATAACTTCAACGACATTATACCAAACATTTATAACTACTTCGTCAAGTATTTTTGGCACATCACTAATTTTACCTCAATAATTATAAAATAAAAAAATCTGGGTGTTTAAATGGGACCTAAATTAAATATCTTAAGAGGTTGGGTAAGTTATATTTGTCATTTTTTGCACATGATAAATATAGCAACGGTACTGAAAATCTTTTTGAAATGTAGGTAGTTTGGTACTGCATTAATTGTATAACAAACACGGACGAATGGTAAAGTGAAATAACTAAAAACAAAAAAAATATGTTTTAATACACTACGACAAAAAGACACATAGAACACCTGCAATCTTAAATGTCCTATAGTTTGAAAACTGTGGTGTAAAAAAAACTTAATATAAAAAATCGATTTGCGACTATAAAAATATTGGATAATAGTTTCAGGTGTTGATAGTAGTCAAAATACCGAATTAAATCAAGGATTGATAGGCCGTTCATTGTAATTGAATTAAGTTAGTAAATTGGTAGTCATTTTTTTGTTTCGGGACTGAAATTAAAGACACGTAAATTATACAGTTCGGCTTCTCCTTTTGCTTTGTTGGCTACTGCAAAGGACTTAAGAGTTGGTCAGTTATTTTAATGAATTGATGAATGGCCAAAATCTCCAAACGTCCAATTACACGTCGTTTCTTAACCAATGACTATCCTTACATTTACATTTGCCTAACAAAAAAAAGCTGCTGAAAAAGTTGCTTTACTTTTCATTAATTATTAAGCTAGTAACGAAAATTGCTTTTATTATTATCTAGAATGGTTTAACGTTTTAATTCACGAACTGTAAAAGGGTTTGATTTCAAATTTAGAACTTAAACAAAAATCTACAGTTATACAATTTAAAATTGCTAAAAGCTATTATCCACGCAGGTTTGAATAATTTAGTTGGTGCTATTAAAATTATTTTAGAGCAACAAGCAGTATAGCTTTAACTAACCAAAAGTAAAAACATAAAATAAGTCATCTTCACTGCTTTTATTAATTATTTGTACGTTCAACGAGTAATTTTGGATACCGATCAGTACTCAAAGTTTTAACACAATTCAAATACTGTAATATTTTAAACTATTGAAAATGTTTAATATCTTAAATATTTTTACTGTTATTTTATTTGACAAAATAATTGAATTGAAAATCACTAGACACAAACGTTATCACAATAAAATGTTTAATTGTGATCTGTTTAAATTAGGCCTATGGTGATACATAATACTTTAATTTCAATAAGAATAAATGCACCTTTAAGTTTTACTAAATACAAATATTTCTCCCTATAGAAAACGACTGTCTTTAAGACGAAGCTTTTGTTCAATATTGACTATTGTTATGAAACAACAGTCTAGAACAAACAGTCGTCTTGCTTTTGTAGATATTGCAATGTAAATTTGCAAATAAATCCATTATACATAATAATAAAATAGAGTTTACATGTATAATACATTAAGGATGAGCCATTAATAAGAAATACGTTAACTTTTTATTTTAAAACAACATTTTCGTGAATATTATTTAATATGTATAGTTGAGTACGATTAAGATATTTTCCCTCCTTAAACGAACGAATATTTACTTTTCTCGTAACGGTAATTTTTTTAAATTGTGATTTTAGTCTTAATTTGGATTTATTTGAGTCGTAATCTTTTACAATACCGTTATTTCCTAACGGAAAATAAATATCTTTGAGATTTGTAATAAAACTAAAATGCAATATTACCTATAAATTTTGACGATGTAAACATTACTTTTTACAATAACATTAAGACACGTTTTATTCACTATAATTTTGATATATTAAACGGGAACGTATGAAGCAAATGGTTTTGCGAAAGCCACATACGAAGATGGGAAAGTGGTATTCTATTCATGCAATAAGTGGACAGACGAAGGAAACAAGAAAATCCATTTTACTTCAACGCATA